AATGGAATCTTGGCAGTGGGAGGACGAAGGCTCTGAGAATGAGCCAAGAAGACCTCCTGGGGGGTGGGGCAGGCTCTGAAATTCCAGAGAAACATTCCACAGCCTGGAAGCTAAAGGGCTCTGAGCTGAGTTAAACGGACTGCTCACCTGGTATCTTTTCAACTTAAGAGCTCGGTTGCATACATCTGGGCTGCTGCTTCCTCAGTCTGCAGAGTGATTTATTGCTTGTTAGTATCTACAGCTGAGTGATATTTTCAGCTGCCTGTACAACCACAGCCATTGTGAACAGGGCCGCCATCTGGTCATCTACGTACAGGCAGCCACGAGATCTTCACGTAGCCAAGATAGATGGAGCCTGACCCTGGTCTCTGGATGCTTCTAATGCCAGCCTGATGGGTCAAGAAGAGGAACTGGCTACAGGGGAGAAGGAGGGCCTTCTCCAGACAGTGAATGAGGACACAGAGAGAAGATCAAATCCCTCATCAAATATGGTCCCCAGATCTGCAGCGTCCACACCCAAGGCCCAACACTTGGGAACTTGCTAGAGACATTCTGGGCTCCCACCCTAGAGCTGGCCAGTGTGAATCTTGGGGTGAAGTAGCAACGCTCTGCTCTGTATTTTAACAGCATTTCTGGAGACACTGGTGCAGGCTAAAGTTTGAGAGCCACTTCCCAGTAGGGAGCTATTCCACATTTTGCCCACAACTCTGGTTCCAATCCTCATGGACGACACTTCCGCCACACTCTCATCTGGACAAACCCTTGCCCTTTCTGTCTTCAAACACTGGACATGGATGGAGGCTCCTGGAAGTCCACATTAGATACACAGTCCTTATCAGAGGCTTTGCAGCTGAGGCCTCACTCTGGCTAGATTTCACTGGAACAAGCTCTTGTTTCCCTCCCTAACACTAACACTGGGTACGACAATTCATTTTACATCATTCCACCAAATTTTTCACCAATGTTTATCATTGCCCATGGGAACCCATTCTTAGCTCCCCTTTCTGTTCCAGGTATGATATGGTAAATGCAGAAAAAACTGGGAATGTCATTATTAGTGTTACTATAATGACAAACTTGAAAAAATCTAAATGTCTATCAAAAGAGTAAATCGAATCATGACTGCTGAGACAGGGTATAAAATCACATTGTAGGGAAATATTCCATCTACATAATTTAAAAACTATATTGTTCTTGATTATTAAAAACTGTCGGCATTGATACAGCTTTGGTGGGACGTATCAGAGATCCCAAAATTCACTGCTCAACACTCCCTGGCCTCAATCTCTGTCTTCCTGCCTCTCCTCACATCTGGCAGAGGTGCAGAGATGAGCTCAGCCATCCTGGGCAGCCCCAGATGGAGGGATGAAAAAGACTACCAGGCCTGAAGTGGCATCACGGTTAGAAAGGAAGCCAGAGTGGAGTGTTTAGGGAGATAATACAGCTTTGCTAATAGGTGCAAAAAGAAGGGAAAGATAAAAGGAAGAGAAACTGAAAAGGTGAGAAAAAAAAAACACAAGCAGCCAGATGAGGAGCTTAGAAAATTATGGAAAAAAACATGCATTCTTCTCCTCATAAAGAGCCTTAAGTTGGCAAGAGATTCCTTCCCAAGAGCCAGTTTGAAGCCAGGGGCCAATCTCCCCAGTGTGACAGATCTCAGGGCTGGGAAGTTATGCTCCAGTGACTGTGGCTAGCGATTCCAAGTTTTGAGGGTGCGGCACGATGTAGCTAATGCACTCCACCTCGCTTGACTGCACGGCCAGGCATCTGGTGACCCAAACTCTGCAAGGCCAATGCGCACTGTCTTGTCACCCACACACCGGGGACTTTTACAGCTTGCATCTGGACCAAAGGGGACTCTGGCTTTTGCCTCTTGCTCCTTAGCAGAGCAGGCTCAGGGCACACCCTGGAGAACTCACACCTCCTCCCACCTCAGGATCTGGCACTGGAAATTCGGTGGAATCCAGAGGGGAGGCTCCCCTGCAGGTCAGCGAGGAGGGGGCTCCTCTACGGTCCATTCAGTATTTCTCAGGGGAGGGAGGTGCTCACTACAAATAAATCATCCCCACTCAGGCCTCCTGTCTGCTGCCTTCCCTGAAGATGCAGAACTACACAGCCTGCTGTTTTAAATCATGGCTCTTGGCATCTGACCTCCTAGTGATGTGACAGATACCAAAGCACCCTCAGAAGGAGCATTTAGGAAAGGGTTAAAGGAAAAATACAGACTCAATTTTCTAGTCGCATATCTCCACTCATGTTTTTATGCCTATGTTCTTTCCCAAGTTTTTAAGAGTTCAGCACTTTGACTATTTTGTCTTAAACCAAAGCATATCTATTTCAAAACTGCAAAACTTCCCATTTTCTCTTACTGTATATTCTTATAAAAGAGAACTCAAATTCCAACCATGCATTCTTATTAAAGCTCTCTTAGTGCATTAGCTGAAAGTCCAGGATGAAGTCCCACTATTCCGGCACTTTTTGCCTGGTTCCTGACCACCACGCCTGTCTGTATTCTCTTGCAGAGGAACGTGTGATGTTCCTTGGCTCAGACTTGCACCACATGCTGGGAAGAGGTGTAATGTTTCAGCCCAGAGGAAGCTCAATGGCTCCCATAGAGCTTCCTACATAATGCAAGACCATTCGTAGGAAGAGGACCCAGGCTCTCGCTTGTTTACACAACTTGCCAATTACATGCCCCGAGACCAGTACAAGGCACTGTGAGCCTCATTATGGCTGCTTTACAGATGAGAGAGAATCTATCACTCTCCCTACCTTCCCAGCAGGGTGAGGGTCAAATAAAATGATGGATGTCACAACAGCATGTGCGTGAGATGGACAGCTCGAGTCCTTGATCCTCAATTCCCTTCTTCCCTCCCTCCCTCCGCGTAACCCTCCTCTCTTCTTTTATACATCATGTGTTTCCTCTCTGAATTAAATGGTCATAGGTATTATAAGGAATTTCAAAACAAATCAGAAATGTCCTTCAGATGCCTAAAACTTTATAGGAAAAGAAACACAGATAACCTGCTCTAGGATTTACAAGGGGCTCAAGACAGCTTCCTGTGTAGGGGTCAGGATGACCTCAGGGAGGAAGGGGCATCTGAGCAGGCCCCGAGTGTGGTCAAGACGTCGACACGTGAAGTTGATGGTAAAGAAAGGCACACTGGGGGAGAACAAACGGTCACAACAGGGCAGAGAGACAGACATGGGGCATGCACAGGAAGAAAGCAGCTAGAACTCCCTGAAAGGAGAAGGGAGAGACAGCTAGAAAGGCAGACTGGAGCCAGATGGGGAAGCTCTGTAGGTAGGGGAAATTTGGACTCCAATACCCACCTCACCCATGACCCTGAGCACCCAAATTCCCTCTCTGGATAAGCTACACCACATGCCTTTGTCTTCCTAGGCAAAAATTCAAGTATTTAAGGTAACTGAGGTATGGAAAATCAAACCACCCAAAATGTTATTTGTGGAACTGTAGTCTTTTGAAAGAGCAATTTGTTTCTCTCAATAATCAAAATGTGTTTTCTTAAGCAGTTTCTCAGCTGCCATTAATTCTACAGATATATTAACACAATTATGTGAAAACATATAAGAAAGTATGTCCCCTTTATTATTTCTACTGTTTGAAAATAGAGAAAAGGAAGCAGTCTAAATGTCTATCAACAATGGACCTATCACATAAGATTCACCCAAACAATGGAATATTATACAGCCATCTTCAAGCCAGGAAACCTGCCCAAAGACAAATGAAAGTAAAATTAGAGTGAGAAGGGCAAGGCGTGGAGAAATATGAGTAGTATGATCCTACTTCTGGTTTTAAACTATATACTTAACGAACAGAAACATTCTGGAAGGTCACCTTTGGTAATGTATTCAAGGAGCAAATGTCACCTCCATAAACCAGAAAGATGGTTCTTTTTGTTTTTGTCATATGCGTATTTTTGCATCCCCTTCAGAAGTGTCCGAGCCAGGAAAGGTATGTGGAGCCCTCTGGACACCTCTGGGTTGCAGGACTGACACGAGCAGTGCTTTCCTTGCTGGCTTCCCAAATAGTGGCTGAGAAAAGAGGGAAGGAAGGGAGGGAAAGGAAGGAAGGAAGGAAGGAAGGAAGGAGGGAGGCAGAAGGGAGGGAGGGAACATGGATGGGAAAGGGAAAGGAGGTCCTACGTGAAGACTAACCAGGTAGCAGCACGCCACACCAGTTAGAAAAGACACACTCGGGGACACAATATGCTGGCCAGGCAGAGCTCAAGACCAGGATGAAGAATGCAGGAGAGTCGGGTTCTCTGATACAGAAGCCCAAGGTCTGCAGACTGGAGGGGCTGGTACAGTTCAGAGAAGCCAGGAAGCAGCAAATGCCAGCCTCAGTGTTGACCCTCAATGACACAGTACCTGAGGACATCTCTGAGCAGCTTCTGACAGTGCCCTCTTTCTTCAGGAAACAAACACTGGAGTAAGTGACTGTGCAACCTACACTTCTTTCTATCCCTTTGGCCTATTGCTTTCCTCACAGGGTGCTAGGAATGATTGTTGAAATAACGCACGGAAAGCACTTAGCACAGTCCCTGGCAGAGGGTACGCACCCACAAAGAAGCTTATTATCAAGTTGCCTCCAGAACTCTGTCAAGAGTTCTAAGCACTACAACCGCAGAAGTCATAGGGAAGTGTCCTTTGGAAGACTCCTGCCTCCTCACTTATTTTGGGCTGTCTTCCCAAGCACATAAAGAAACTGGGAGCTGTTGCCTCTGTATTTTTTACTCTTTTGTTTCCTTCTTGGTACCGGGGATTGAACTCAGGACCTTGCACTTGCCAGGCAGGCGCGGTGTTATTTCCTACTCTTGCAGAATTTCAAAATTAAGCTACCCTCGACAGGCCCCAAGTATAAAAAAGTCCTCTCTGATGTCATCTTTAAAGAGCCTTTATAACTGGAGTTCATTTTCCTTTCTCCCCTCTGGCCAGCAGCACCGTGCTGCCCATGGGGAGCACCAGAGCCCACTCACCACCGCAGGGGGGTCGTTCCATTGCTCATAGGAGATGGCAGCATATGGGTAGATGCGGTCATTGATGATCTGCAGCGTGGCCAGGGCTATGGCTTTGATCGACTGGAAGTATGCATCCCAGAACCACCGCACCTGTCAAGAAAGTGACATGCTGTAAACGGGCAAGCGAGACAGGCAGGGTGGGGAACAAGATGCTCAATCATGCTCAACTCTGGTCTGGGAATTCCTTTATTCCCAAAGACCGTGTTACCATGGGTGATGTGGGTCTGGGGCAGGCTCCTAGGTTCTTGTGTGCAACAAAGAATTGCATGTGGCATGCAATGGTAAAGAAAAAGCAACAAAGTTCATTAAGATGATAGGAGGCTCAGAGTCTGTGAAAGGAAAATGGCACGAGCACTGAGGGCTTTAGATGGGGGTGTTTAAAATGCTGAGCCAGTTTTGGGGCACCTTCCATTGGGGTCTTCCAGAGCAGGACTGACAGCATGACTGACAGGGTGCCAAGTCAGGTCAGTGGCATGGGACGCTCCTGACCTTTCCCATAATCCACTCTGTTGGAATTGGCTGTGTGGGACGCCGTCCATTCGCACGAGCCCTCAATAAGCTCCAGGTGAAGAAGGGTTACGGGGCGCTATTGGTGCGCATGTGTCCTGGTTTGCAGTTCTGGAGTTTCCCAAGGCAAGCTTTGATTTTCTTCTCTGTCTCCCCGTAGTAAACCTCAGGACAAGGTGGTGGTGGGGGGCCCGTAGGCTCAGGAGAGTGCAGGGAGCGGTCCCTTAGCTCCAGCTGTACTCTGTATGGATAGGTGCTGGGGGAAATGCACCTGCTGTCCACACCAACTCCACTAGAGGAACGCATTCATCAAATGCAGTCAGAATCAAAAGGCAGCAAGTGAAATAATGGACTCAATTGAAATAAAAAGAAACCCTGGTTGATGAAAATACAGTACTGATATTTTATATCACAGCAAGTTTAGAGTGAATTTTTACCTATGCACCTACTGCCCGGCTAGAGATCCCCTAGAAGATCCCCAAGGCCACTTCCCCGCCAGGATCTCAGCCCACTATTCAGGTTTCTCATGTGCTCACTCTTGAATTTCATGTAAGTGGAATGCAACAGTTTTTACTCTCTTGTTCTAACTTCTTTGGCTCAACAATATTTAAATCAGGTTTTGGTATCGAGGTTATGCTGGCCTCATAGATTAAGTTAAAAAGTGTCCCTCTTTTTCTATTCCTTGAGAAATTTTATGCAAAATTGGTTTTAGTTTTTCCCTGAAAGGCTTTAGAAGAATTCATTTAAGAAGCCATTAGTGTAGATATTTTTTTGTGTATAAAGATTTCAAATTATGGATTTTTTTTCATAGACACTGGATAATACATACTCTCATGTGTGTCAGCTTTGTAAGTAGTGCTTTTCAGGGAGTATGTTCATTTCATCTAAATTATTAAGTTTACTGTAACAAAATTGTGCATTAACATCCATTTAATGTTTGTAGAATTTGTAGTAATACACTCCTTTTCATTTCTGAAATTGTTAATCTGTATTTCTCTTTGTGCTTAGTCTTTATCAATTTTATGAATCTTTTTTAAAAAAAAACATCTTTTGATTGTGTTTGCTTTCTCATACATTTCTCACCCTATTTGGTTCATTTCTCTTATTTTTATTATTTCCTTTTATTTTGGAAGAGCTTAATTTTGCTTTTAGCTTCTTGAGATTAAAGTTTAAATCATTAATTTCAACTTGTCTTTATTTCTAACATATGGATTTAAAGCTATAAATTTCCCTCTATACACTATTTTAAATGTATCCCACATATTTATATATCATTTTCATTATCATTTAGATAAAAGTCTACTTTCCATGTCTTTGACTTATGGGTAATTTTGTTTTTCAATTTTAACTTTATTAGTATTTATTTGCAGTATATAATGATTACATTATGTATCTGTACATAACAATATTTTAAAAACTTGTCTGTGTGTGCATGTACATATATCTATGATTATGTGTATAACTATACACATTTTCCAAAATTTTACTTTCAAATTTGTACCCTCAAAGTTTGTCTCTAATAAAAATCATGTTTTGGGGTTTTAATATTCACGCTATCCAACAATCTTTTGCTTCTAAATATATAGCCCATTTATACTTAGTGTAATTGCTAATACAGCAGAGTTTAAGTGTATAGTCATTCTATTTATTTCTTAATTGTTTCATCTGTTCTTTTCCTTTTTTATGTTTAGAACCAACAAAAATTATTATTCCATATTTTTCTTCTTCGTTAGCTTGCTGATTATTAAGTCTTTTGTTATTCTTACCATATTAATAGTGGAAGAATATTTTAGATAGGTAGAGAATTCTAGGTTAGCAATTATTTTCATTTGGAACAGTCAAAATATAATTCCACTGTCTTCTGGAATTTTTCTGCAATGTTTTCATCCCTGTTTTTACTGATAAATCATCTGTCAGCCTTACTATTTCCTTTGAAACTTTTTTTGACTACATTTGAACTTTTCTCTGTCTTTGGCTTACAGCGGTTGAAAAATAATGTGCCTGGATGTGGCTTTCAGTGTTATCATACAGCTTCTTCAGTCTATGGCTCAATGTCTTTCACTGACTTTTGAAAATTTTCTGCAAACATTTAAAAAATATTGCTTCAGTCACCTCCCCTCATCTGGGACTTCAAATACACATATATGTGAAATATATTTCAGTGTTTTCACTATGGCCCATGGATTTTATTCTTTTGCCCATATTTTTCTTTCCATTTCATGGGAGTGTTTTCTAACCTTTTTTCCCAATTCAGTAATTCTCTAGCCTTTTTTCTTTGGTGTCTAAAACTGTTGTTAAACCTCTGTATTGAATTATTAATTTGCATTCCTATATTCAGCTCTATTTGGTTTATTAATTTTATTTATTTGTTTTTTGGTGCTGGGGATGGAGCTCAGGGCCTCACACGTGCTATATTCTACTATTGAGCTACACTCCCAGCCAGACCTTTTTAAAACTAGTTCCCATAACTTTTCTTTTATTTCTTTAAGAGTCAGCTAATGAGTGGCAGCTCCAATATCTGAATTACCTGTGGGTCTTTTTCTACTGTCTACTTTTTCTCTTTAGTTTGGTCACTTGATTTCAATTTCTAGCATACTTCCTAATTTTTTACTGGACACCAGATATTCTGTTTGCCCTCTGGGCCTCTACTGAAAGGATGGGGCATCTCCTGGGACCCCCACCTTCGTAGGCCTTGCTCGAAACCTTTATCTCCTAGTGCTCTGTGGCTGCTGAAACATCTGTGCTGCTCATTAGGCTCTGGCTGCTGCTTCCTATGGACCCCAGAGTCTGCCTTTGGCTGTGTGTATTCAGCATACACACACACACACATACACACACACACACACACACACACACACACATATTGCTTGTTTGCTTGTACTGTTTTCATTCCTCTGTGGTTTTCTCTTTCCTAAACATTTGCCTCTCAAATCCCAACCTCTGCACCCCATAGGACTAGAGTTTCTGCTTGGGACTGCATAGCCTTGAGCTGTGAAGTGGAAAGTGCCCTTGGAGGAAAAAGCCAGAGTAAACCTGAAGTTCACTTCTACACCATGCCTCTCGGGGAATGGTGTCCCTCAAGTAATGCCACATTGCTTGCTGCTGTGTGGAGGCAGGTGTCTTATCTATTCTGTCCCGGCCCCCTTCCAGGGGCATTCTTCCCAGCCTTATTTTCATCCAAGGTCTAGCTAAATTCCCAGGGCTGGCCTTGCACTTCTGATCCTTCTGCCTCAGCCTCCCAAATAACTTGGATTACATGTACCACCTCGCCCAGCTCTTTTTCTTTTTTGACAAGGGCATTATTCCAAGATCAGCTACTCTACTGGAGTCCAATAAGGTCTTTTGAAAGAAGATGGTTTCTTATTACTGGTCCCTAACCAAAGCAGGATGCTGGTCTAGACAAGCAGAGCAGCTTCAATTGGATCTGTGATCTCGCTCAAAACCAGAGGGCTTGTGCATGAGGGTGGACATGTGAAAACTGAGCACAGGGAAAGCAGGGGGAGGAAAAAAGACAGTTTCCAGTCTAGATGTGCCAAGATGTCTGTCCGGGGATCAAATGCCTAGGTACCTTCTGAGTTACATGACTTCCATTCTCTCCACTAACTCAGAGAAGGAACACATCACTGCTCGAATTGTTCCTATTGGAAACGCTGAAATGCAGACTTAGCTCACAAGGGCGTGTGGCTCACGAGTACTGGCCGCCTGCTGCTGCTTCCTGGACATGTCCTCCACACTGCAATCATATTTCTGCTTCAACTCATCTTTCTGCTTTCTCTCCCACCACCAGACAAAATAGTTACATTCCGTGGACCTGAAAGAACCTGTCTTCTCTGTGAAGCCTTTATGGTTCCTTTGAACACCAATAGCGCCCTTCCTAAAACACCCACAACCAGTTACAGCTGCTCTGTGATTCTCTCCGTAGTTGCAGATGGCCACGCCTCTCTCCAGCTAGATCAGGAGAACTTTGGCAGAAAGACCCCTCCCCTTTTTGTATCCTTTGCAAATGTTTAGTGTACGTGCTGCCGAAGCAAGCACTCCTTTGCAAATGTTAAGAGTGTTTTACTTCCTACAAAGCACTTATCCATGACCTCATCTCTTTATAACCACTTGTTGCTTTCTGAGGGCAGACTCAAGCTTAGTTTTATATGGAAGGGAACTAGATTCAAAGATATCGAGTGACAGAATCAAGACTCCGACCTGCTCTCAATTCAGACCTTTTCCTCTCCCTGGAGTATTAAGAGGACCAGCCCAGAGTAAGTTTTATGAGGAACTGAGCAGTATAAAAATTTACTATGCACCATGAGCCCACACATGTGCTGAATACTTACCTTCTTTTCTACCCAAATGGGTCCATCATCATATTTTATTTTAAATGATATTCAAATAAAACCAGACTCCAACTTTAAGCATGCCCAGATCTGAATGCTCACAGGTAGTCCAGGAAAGAGCAGCCTTGTGGGTTTGGAGAACCCAGTGATGGTAGCAAATCCACCTAGAATGCCAGCCAAAGGCACAACTGTGGGGCAGAGCTTCTAACCCAAGATGTCTCAAGTCATCTCTCTCCATCCACAAACTGCAGCTGA